CTACAGCAGTTGACTGAACTATCGTTTTATTTGTTTTACATATAAAAAGTGTTATATTATGTATGGACGCGCCTATGTGTATTTGTGTCCATAATATAAACGAGCATGTGAATATGTATACGCACACAGCGCGACAGAATAGATGGAAATATATACACACACGCTGTGTAATATGTGCACAATAAATACTTTATATACAACTCTCACTTACAGTATGCGAACGCGACGTGTTCTAGAACGCAAGTTCACGTGTTTAAGTATAACATTTTATGTGCATACGTGTGTAGATAATACGGCACAAAGTTGAGGACTTTAGAAATGATACCGGTGGGAAAAAATGGTTTTAATAAATTAAAAATATCATAATAAAATCGTATTTTTTCTTCGAGCCAAAAACGTATAACCATGAAATTGTCTGCACGTGAATATTTAAATAGAAACAGGCTGAGGCTTTTCAAAAGCATTCTCTTTCGTTATGAAATGTTTCTCAGTTTCGACACACAAGGACACAACTCGGTTATTTTTGCATTATTTTTGAAAGCATCAAATTTTAAATCGACATCACTAACAACTATGGAAAAGTTTTAAATCTTTATATATTGTCAAAGTTGTATAATATATAAGTTTTATAATAGATAATACATATTATTAAAAAGTTAGTATTGTCTATTTAAGTGTTGGAAGTTGTACGTGTTTCTATTTTTCCGTGCTCGACTTTTTCTTTTTGTCTGTAGTTTATAGTCAGTGTAGATTGTTAATTTTGGGAATGTGCATATTCAACTATAATTTCATGTATTTTCTGTGTAATTTGATGTTAAGTTGATTTTTAAAAATAAAATGTTTAAAATAATCAAAAATTATTAATTACTTCATCGATTTTATTTGTGTTACATGTAGTCAAAACTACTCAAAATGTGTTTACACCAGTAATTAAAAAATATTTAGTTTTTAACATTTTAATGCATCACTTATGATTTTGAAGGGTTTTTAATTTTCGTTGGAAAAAAATAACGGTGTTAACACTTGTATATGTTCACCGAGGAGGTAGAAACATTTTCTGATGTAATTAAAAACTGGTAACTACGATCGTGCGATACCGTGTTGTATGTGAACATAATATTGTAATAAAGATAATTATATAGTTTGAAAAAGCAATTTTAATACTTACAATGTGTGAAAATATTAACTGCATTAAATTGAAATTCAACTTTTATTATTTAATATGGATTCAAAGAAGATTTAATAAGAGTTTTTATGTGAAAAGTACATCCAGGGCTCACGAATTCACTGAAATTAAAACAATGCTTAAAAAATATTTCATTATCGTTTTCAACAAGCAATTTTTAACGTCAACGGAACTATAGGAACTAACAAGTAGTTAGTAATATTTGCACAATTTGTCACTAACTAAAGTACAAATCTTTAAATAATTGATTGAAGTTTGTGTTCAACTAATTAATGGAAAACTATAGAAAACATTATCTTAGTAACCAATGGTGTGTGCGTAATTCATAATTAATGGTATACTTTCTTAATGACCCGACGAAATCTTGGCGGTGGCATCCCTTTGTACTCTCATAAAACGCTATAGACGTAGTTTGGTTTTTATTTATTAAATACGTCTTTTGGTGATTTACTATTTTCAAGTGTGGGGATAATGGATGCTATAACGATAATAAATCATCCAGAGACACCTCATTAATACTGTAGCCATTGGTTATCATCCAGTGATATTACCGTTGTATAACATAAACCTCATGATCAATGCCATAGTGAAATGTAAAACGTTGATTACAAACGGCAGCATGTGGTTCAGATAACATTAATGTGAACAGTTGATTAAAATACAACCTCGAACATTAGTGATAGCTAAAAAAAAAAAAATAAATTTACTATCAAACCAATCGACGATTTAGCTATTGATAATTTTAAAACGTTAGTTTCAACTCAGTCATTACTATCGATAGACCGCGTATCATTCAAAACATAATCTCGCTTGCAATTGGTATAATATTAAAGTCGTTGTTCACATTGATTCAAAGAGGAATTGCGGCGATGATGTTAGCCATTCAACTTGACATGGTAACAATAATCGACTTGCTTCTACATTTACTAAAAACGTCACTGCATTTGACGGCGAAAAACCATCGCCATACCGGTCGAGGATTTCACGATTTGAGTGTTTTCGACACATGAAATAACCAAACTTCTTTATTTATTCGTTTGGGTTTCATATGCTGGGTTGTCATTGATCTAATGTATCAGCGGATTAAAAGCATACGTCGTTTAGAATTATTTTGCCGTGGTTTTGAACATAACGATTCAATTTTACTATTACAAATTGTTTAGCCTATTGTTGGCACTTTTTTTAATAAATAAAACTATAAGCCAACGAATTTCGAAAATTTTAGGAAAAGTTTATATTATAAAATATTCCCTTCCCGAATCACCGAGCTGTAACTCTAATATGGTATTTTATTGCCCACCATAAAAGTTTAAGTGCTTCGAAGTAGTTTTTCGCTGTATTTATAAACCGTTTTCCCATTATAGAGAAGAGCAATAGTGTTCTAGCCGCTTAGAGGCACGTCTAACCTCCATTTTGTAAAACTCAACTGATGTACAAATACAACTAGCTCAGCACTTAGCAGTAATGCGATCACTTGACTCTAATACTGTCAAAACTAATCTGTGAAAATTTTCATCACAGTATCACCTGTGGTAATTATATTTTTAAATATAAAATATACGTTTTTAAGCAAAGTATGATTGGAAAAAGAAAGAATGACATATACTCACAACTAAAACGATAATTAAAGAAAAATCCCGAGGCAAGTAAAATAAATTTAGAACCCTATAACATCAAAATTTAAAAGTTTTATCTGATATAACTAAGTTTTAAATTATTTATAAATAGAAAACAAATTAAAAATATATATTGAATATAAAACTTTTACGACTTTTATTTTTATTTTTTTTATTTTTAATAAATTGGCAATAGTTTTGTTGTTTTAGTGAACACGTGTCTAAATTTTTTAAAAGGAACTTCATGGACAACATTTTAAATTATAATTACTATAATTAAATGGTTTTAAGCCTTACAGTCTTCTAATTAACCTATTAATTTAATTAATAGTAATAGCCTTACAGTGTAAAGGGATTATTGAAATTTTATTTTTTATAAAAAAAATGTTTACCAATAAGAAATATTCTGTCAATTATTTACCTATATTCCGTTAAATGAACTAAATTAATTATGTAATATTAACCAAAGTGATACTTTTAATAAGATTTTATGAAATAAATTAAAACATTTTATGAAAATGTTTGAGGTGTATGTTTTTTTAATCGCATAACTATTATATTAATAGTATTTAAAATTTTACCAACTGTTATATATTATCTCAATAAATGTATTAATCTTAACCTGCATTATGCCTATATTAAGTTAACTCTTTGAAGTCAATTTAATCAAGTTGATAAAATTGATACTTTGACTCAATTAAAGAGTTTTAAATTTTACAAATGTAATTTATATGTTTATAGATTATTAGTTACATTTATTTCTCAAATATATATTTTACAAGGTCTACAATTTAGCCTCATTCACTCTTATAGTTAATGTGCCATTAAAACTCAGCTAGTTAATAATTTCATAAAATGTACTATACCAATAGTTTTTTTTACTAAATATGTCGTAGTTATGAACTAATGAATGAAACATTTATAAGTGTTTATATTATATTATTATATTTTTATTAGCAACCTTATATTGACTGTATTAACAGAAAATATAATTTATAATATATATAAATAATTTTTTAAGATTACAATATCACAATAATTCCAATTTATATTATTCCATTAGTTGGTTTACGTTTAGTATTAAACAATTTTTTATCATAGCAATTATATTTATTAAATTTTACAAATCAAAGTCTGTACATAAATTTTAAATAGTAATATTTTCATTAAAAAAAACTCAAAAAATTTTGAGGACTTGGGATGAATAAAAAATAAAACAATACAAAAATAGTATGTCTTTGGTAAAATTATAGTTAAGTACAGCTGATATATTTACCGAATTTAAATAGAAAAAAATTTAGGATGATATGATAACAATAAAATATTAATTTATTTATAATTTTATGTACAATTTATCGGGTGTTTGATTGTAATAAACCCATAATTAATCATTTTCGAATCATTACTGAAATTTATACGTAACAATAATTATTTTTCCCATTTAATTATAATTAAGCAGGAATTTGGATTAAGTTGTATTAGGCTGGTATGGATAAAATACTTGGAAGCCACTGTAATAATTATAATTATAGTATGACTATTGTTCCTCGTCATCCTATTCTTTAACCGTTTGTTTACTTTTTTAAACACGTTGTATCGTCACAAAAAATAAAACAAGTAATTATATTATTGCTTTTAATAAATAATAATTGTTTGTACGATAACAACAATGGAATTATACATGATTCTAGCAGTTCTCTCCGGATGGTCATAAAGTTTCTCGTGAAAGTTTAACAGAAGTACTTGAACGGGTGTCAATGACAATAAAAAGGACCTGTGTTTAAAAAGCCTACACACCAACTGACCCTACGATGGTTTGTTTGGGACTTTTGTAAGCTTTATGACCTAACTAAAGCGAAGACAAGGTGATGAAATTATCCAATAATGTTGTTATGTAATTATTATTTCAATTAAAAACGTGTGAAGTAATTTAAATTTGTGTTTGCTTAAATAAAAAAAGAAATGCCGCAACAGTTTTTAGTAAAAAATTTAATTTTAAACTCGCAAATAAAAATTCACGATAAAAAAAAAAACATCTTATGGACAATCGATGGTCGAGTGATTGTTAAAGTATAGTGTCTCAGCAGGTATAAAAGAGGTGAATTCAAACAGAAACATCAGATGCCGTTCTTTCAGCTGACGGGTAAATAAATCAAAGCGTTAAAAGGAAAAAAGTGACGATGATTTAAAAATCTGAGTGTTTTCTATTTCTTGTCTTGTTTTTTTTTCATCTCCAATGTTCTCATCGTTTTCCCTTGATGACAACGAATAAACTAAACCACCAAGGTTGCTTTAAAGGCGTATTTTTTCCTAATTCTACTGATGTATTGATAACAAAAAGAGGAGTAGTGATGAGAAGCCAAATACAGCGTTATGAACTTGATCCCATTGCATTTTCGTTCCTTTCGTGGCACTTTTATAGTACACTCAACTAGTCACCACTTTTCGTAGCTGTCGAAAAAGTAAAATATGTGTAACTCTGAACACAGAGGGTGTCACCCTATCTAACACAATGATCAGAGTAGGGACCAGGGGTGAATCGCATGGTATGATAATTATGTCGTACGGTACTCTATCACGGTATCTCAAAATTCGCAGATAAAATTGATTTTACCACCAGACCGGAAATTGTTGGAATGTTTCCAATATAAAATAGGAAGGAAAGACTGGGAAACAGGCAATTGGTCGGAGATTTAGATCAAAGCACAAAGAAAATAGATTTTCAACAAATATACCACGTGAAATGTTTGTTTAGGACGACAAATCAGAGGTATTTCAAAGGCTGTTAGGAACAAAAAGGTTTTTCTAGACGTCAATGATGACCAACATAGAACAATATTTATGTCTATTGTTTGACTGAAAAACTAAAATAGTGCATACTCCAAACGACGATTTTTTATATACAATGGCTTCTCGAAAATGGATTTTTAAAGTTGAGTGAAGGAAATTAAGAGATATTCGAAATTTAATGAATTTACTTATGTAGTGTAAATATTTTTAGTTCGTGTATATTTTTTGTTAAAATATAATCTGTATCATATTGGTAAATAATTCAGCTTTACTTAAACAAATTTATGCCTTGTGAAAAAAGCAGACATAAAACATTTACATTTTGGAATGGTAGAACAATACTATAAAACGGCCTGTATACGATTTTAATTTCTAATTTTAGTAAAAATAATATAGTAATTTTTACAAAATACTTTAAACAAATTTCATTCTGTTTACTTAATTTTGCTTAATAATAACAATAACAACAACAACCGTGATTGAGATCACACATCGGTTCCACATCCTTCTTGGTAACCTTCATCTGGCGATCCCTTGTTTAGTGCTCTCTTAAGCGCACTAAGTGGTGGCATTACCTGCACCCCGTGTTTCCACACCCTAAGACTGGCAGCTTTCGGATCCACCGTGACAGTAGGTGATACTATTGGTTGAAATTGAGGAGGTGGTAATGGAGGAGACCTCTCGATAATTGGAGTTCGATCATTACACGCAACTGACATAGTAGTCGTTGAGTCTGACGAAGCCCAAAAACTAGGTGAATATAAACCACCATCATCATCAGTAGCTCGATGATATTCACCACTTCCAGATCTGGGCCTTTGGCGCTTTAGCTGTTGTTGTTGCTGCTGCTGCTGTTGTGATGGAGCGTCGGCTATTAGATCTGGGTTAGATGGTTGACTGTGGTATAGAACCGATCTACCACCAGTCGAGTCTATAACACTACCGCCAAAACCCGCTTCATAGTGGTCAGTAGTGAACGCTAACTCGGTAAGTTTTGGCCGACGTGATAATGTCGCGACTAATTCAGTTACATGAGGAGTAGGCAGTGATTGATTAGTGGCCATAGGATGACTGGTAGTGTCTAAAGAACCTTGTTGTTTAACCGCTTTAACAGCGGTACCATTTGGTGTAGCAGTAGCCACGGTCATAATTGGTTGTCTATGTTTGCCGTCAGCGGAAGATGCTGATGGCGGCAGTCTCTTAATACGCACCAAAAGGTAAACGATTACCAATAAAATTGTGACAATCAGAAATACCAAAAATACACTCAGTCCAGCCACCTGGCCATTAGCTAGAAAAGCTAGTCCACCCAGTCTAGTAACAACTAATGTAAAATTGGCTTCTGCTCGGCCTGCTCGGTTTTCAGCTACGCATAGGAACAGGCCGGAATCTGAAGGTTGCACATTGGTTAATACCAGCAAACTATGTCCTGGTCCTCGCTCAGTCATAAACACTCTTTGAAATGGACCAAAAGCTGAATTGTTAGCAAGTGGTCGTCCGTTCCAATACCATGACACTTTTGCTTCTGGTATTGAATGTACACGACATGATACAGATGCATTATCACCAGTTGCTGCCTCTACAGTAGGGTCCTCGTGTTGAATGTGTGGCTGACATGCAAAATCATCTACGTTCAAAGAAGAAAATGTCTTGTTAGCTACATGTCCAGGACCCGTAGAACACGAAGGATCAACAAAGGTTGGAATATTATTTTTAGTCAGCCACATTTTGACTGACCTCATATTACAATCACAGTGCCACGGATTCTCTTGTAGTTCTACACCTTGTACCTTGTTCAGTGTATCTATAGTACTGGCCATGAGTTCAGTAAGACGATTGTTACCAAGTTTTAAGTTTTCCAATCGCTGAATACCAACAAATGCAGTAGCTGCTACTGTGCGAAGCTCACATCCAGACAAGTCTAAGACAACTAGACCAGCACAATGGCGAAACGCGTCGTGGTCTAATTTTTGTATGGGATTTTTCGCCAGTGATAATTCTCTAAGTAGTGGTACATTTTGAAAGGTCGCTGACGGCACGGAAGTTAACATGTTCTTAGAAAGATCGAGTTCTATTAAATTTTTTAGACCATGAAGTGCTTGAATATCAATTTGTCCAATTCGACAACTGCTCATGTAAACTCTTTGTAAGTTTAACAACCCGGCCCGGTAAAATGTGTCGGCAGACAGTATTTGAAAGTTGTTACCAGACACATCAAGAACTTGAGTGGCTCCATCAATATCATCCGGGATAGTGATCAATGATTTATTTTTGCACTCGACGCTTTGCTTTCCACCTTTCCATTTACACGAACAAACTTCCTGACAGGTGTCAACCAAAGATGTCACGGTCGTAAACATAACGACAACAACCGTCAGGTATAATATAATTTTCTTAGGCATTGTGGTGGCAGCCGATTTATGCAATACCACGTTTACTGCCGTTTATGCTATACCGACCATCATGATCGACACCACCACCGCCACCACCGTGGTCGTAGTTACCACGGTGGTGAATAAAAGCGGTATCGACATGCATCGCGGGTTTAATCAATTGCAATTTCTAAAAAAATAAAACCTTAAATTATAATTGTCAAAATCACTTAAACAAATACCGATAAGCACATATTATTTAAACACTCGCGTACGGTTATAAAACAACAAATACTCGATTCGGGTTACGATATGAAATACACGTATACATAGAACTCACTACAGTGCGATTGGCGAATAAGAAAAACAATGACGACAACATCCGACGGTCGACAAGCACCGACTGAAGGATAGACCGGACGAGCAGTAGCGTGTATATTATGCTATTGTCGGCGCTACCACCAACGAGGCGGATGATGTAGCGCTGTTAGGTGGCCGACCGGTAAAACACTACCATAGCAGACTTTGTCGCCCTTAGAAGCCCTTAACGAACAACAGTAAGTCCACTATTGATGTAATAAAATCATATAAATAAATGGAACTTCATTTTAATAATAGATACTAGTAGAAAATTTCAATTTTTTATATATTTAATAATAAATATTTCCAAAGTATCTAGAATTAACTAAAATAAAATATCAATGATATGCTATTTTGGTATATTAACTTATTTAAATCATCAAGTTATTTAATTCAATTAGATAAAGAGGTAATTCCTGCAACAATATGTACGCAAGTTTAATATTTAAACAAGTAAATAATCAACTAAAAATGGAAGAAAGCATATTTTTTATTAATAAAAAAATTAATATTTACACTTGAAAGACAGATTAAAGAAATTATTTTCTATGGTACTTTTTTTATTTTTTATAGTAACGTTTTAATTATCATTTTGTAAAAAATACCTAGAATTTGGTTATGTAGTTTGTAGTTGTGTGCAGTAATATATGCGGTATGTGTACTAAATAAAAAGTAATGAGAGAAAATTAATTATTTCCCTTCATTATACTAACTGATTTTTATAAATATTAAAATTATTTTACATAATAAGCTTTGGAATTATAAAAAAACTATAATGATAAAAAAATAATGTTTTCAAAATAAATAGTTTTAGTATTGCGATTCCATATTTTTAAATGTTGAATAACGATTTTTTTTCTATAATTCACTGTTGTTGTTTAATGATGGTGTTGTATATTAAAGCACATCATCACTAACTTATGAATAAGTTATAGTATGAATGATTCTATATAATAATACATGTCAACAAAATTTAAAAAAAATGTATTCTCTAAAATATTTGTATGATTTCTATAAGAACTTCAACGCAGATTCCGAATTGTCAGATTTTTTTATCATACCTTATTTTTTAAATAATTACTAATTAGTTTTTAAGTGAGAATCATAAACAAAAATATTTTTTAACTTTCTCAAATTAATTTTATGATTTTAGCTTCAATGCGAAGCTGAGAAGGTATTAATTTTACTATGATGTGTTTTTTATTTTTCAAAATGACAACTTTTTCAACTTAACTTTTGAAAGCATTCTGGAAATACTGACACTTTAATATATTTTAAATTATAGGTTATGTAATATACTTTATTATAGAAAAAATAAATTTTGGATTTTATTTTGTTTTCCTGGTGAAAACAAATGTGCTGGGTTTTTTTAATAATAAATTTACTCAATTTTGTACTATTCCATCAAAATTAACCGATTTTTTGGATCTTTATAATTGAGTTTGAGTGTCTTTTAAAAAGTAAGTTGAATTTTCAAGTGTAACTTTATTTTCGTGTAATTTATAACTAAACAACATTAACCAACATATAGATAATTTTTTAAAAATTTCAAAAATATTAACTTTGTGTATTTTTTGACAATTATAAGTGAAAAAATATATGAAACAAAAAAGCCCTTAATAAATATTATTTTCTTTGTATAATTTTCTGGTATTGTTTTATTTTGAAGTAATTGATTTAATGGTATAATAAAATCTGATATATTTTTAACAATATATATGATGGTGTATTTAGATTTTGTACATGACAATTGAATAATTAATTATATATGAAATTATAAAGAAATTTGCTGAATTAATTTAAACAGAAATATGGCTGTTGCCCTGTGTAATTAGTTAAAAATAGATCTTGACAAAGTCATTTTCTATTTATTATACTTTTGTTTAATTAATTAAAAAAGTGAATAGTACGTCTTTTAATTAAAAAAGTTAATAATTGCACTTAAATGATAATTTTTCAAAATTTTTTTTTTAAATATTTTTAAAAATAATTTTTTATTACTAACGTTTTTTTTACTTAACAAAAAATCACGGTACGATTAAATTGTGATGATCCTTTACATTTTAACATTACATGTTATTATAATTAGTTTAATAACGTAAAAAAACTATTGAAACAATTCTTTAAATATCTAGTAAACATAAAATATCTAATTTGTATGTGTCCAAAGAAATATTGATTATATTGCTATGACGGATTTAATAAAATGAGATTCAATTTAAGCATAATATTATATGATCAATGCTACAAGTAACATTTTCTCTTAAGCGATAAGTTTCGTTTTTTTTTCTCTTAAACGGATGAACGCGGATGATTAATGCTAGTATTACTTAATAAAACTTTGATTATTATTATCATTGTTACTTTACCCGTGCATGATTGTATTTATATATATTTTTTTTATTATAAAACAACAAAATAGTTAAATGTTTTGTCCTGTCATTTTTCTGTGTAAATAATAGTTAATTTAAGAATTAAATAAACTAAAAGTCCATTACTTTTACACATTTATAAAATTTAAATTGACGTAAATAATAAATTATTAGTTTTATTAGTTTCGCTTAAAAAATTAGTCGGAAAAAACCATAAAGATAATTTGTTATTAGAGTTTTGAACGACAATCATTGTTGTTTCTCATCATTTATCGGACATTCACGGCACATTTGACCGTAGATTGTATATAGACACTATTGAGTTTTTGTATGGGATTCGATAATAGCGAGACAACAAATGTTAGTGTGACAATAGCGTTACCCTGAGTACCATTAGATGGACCATGCCGAGATGTTCAGCTGCCGTGGCGGAACGAATAAAGAACTGATAGTATTGTTGAATGAAAGGTATTACACAGTGGTAGTAAATAGCTAGGAGGTGCCGATTAAAACGACGTATTTGACCTATTTTGTTTAAGGGATATCCAAAGGTATTAATTTCTCGTCGGCCGGAAAACCGTTAAAATAAAATAATAAAACCCCTTTGTAGTCCTGTAAATGTACGCCGAGGCATTCGCGTCCAAGCAACAGTGACAAAAAAGAAGATAAAACTTATTGAATAAACGACGATTTGACAAAAGCATTGTCAAAGAATCGTAAAAATTAATCCGCTAAGCAGGTTTTTCGCTGCAGTAAATAACGACGTTAAACGCAAAGGCTATAATAATCTTGTGAATAAATACGTCACTGCGTTAACGGCCTCGCCCTAATTATTATTGTCATTGAAAAGGTACGCAAAGTCAACCTCGTCCAAAAACATTTTAACGGGAAACGTTATCGTGCAAACGTAATTTGTCGTTGCTGATTTTAAATGACTTTTGTGAGGGCATTTTAACATCGTTGCTAAAATTCTTATGCTGTTTTGGCACCGTTGGAAATCGACCGATCTATATTTTTTTTAACGCCATTTAGATATCGGCTAAGAATTAAGAGCCTCTAAAAGATAAGTACAATAGAAAGTCAAAACGATAACCACAATAGTTTATACTTGGAAAAAACGATCATAGTTCTAGTACAGAACCATAAGCTTCACTCTTATCTCAGCGTTTGTAGTATAATAATACAGTTTAATATTATAACCTTAATTATTTATAAATAACTATAGTACATGGTTTTGCTGATAACAAAAGCTTTTCAACTGTAAAATGCCTACCAAATGGTTTTTGAAATGTGCACAATTAACAAGGATAAGTACAAAAATATCAATTTTATTAATGCCGTTATCTTTGAGTAAGTACACAGACACATTAATACTATGATGTTACTGTCGACGTGCGTTCAAGGCTAGAATTATTATAATTTATTCACTTCGAGTGGTTTTAATTTGACAGGCTGTCAAAATATTGCGTGGTGACATAACCTGGTCTTATGATAACTATCATAATTTTTTTTTTATATAATACCTCAGTTACTGAAGAACAATTATTTAATAGTATTATATGGTGTTATAGAAACTGTTATTTATAAATATTATGTAATGTATACATTCCCCGACTATTTCCTATGTGTTTCATCTGATATATATGTCAAAATTAAAAATATACTTGAGTGGAAAATGGATTTGGAAAAGGTGAGCAAATGCTCAAAGAATCCGTTAAAGGCCTTTTACAATTACTTTGAAAATTAATTCTATGTAAATTTTTACTGAAATAAATAATTCACTAGTAATATTTTCATTACTCCAATATAAGTGTATTTGTTAAATGTAGCTTTTGGAACAGTTAGATCCTTTCATGATCGAAAATTATACATTCATCTAGATTCGAGTAAAAATTTAAAAATAGCCATTTTTTAGCATTTTTTTTAGAAAAAAATGTTGATATGTAAAAACAACTTTGAAATAAGTACATATTGAGTTACATGTATTTTAAAANGTTGATATGTAAAAACAACTTTGGAATAAGTACATATTGAGTTACATGTATTTTAAAACATAGAGAGGGTATTTATCACAGGCGGAGTGTACATACACAAGTGTGGGTTGTACTTGTGTACTACCAACACCATATAGACATTTTATGTATAAAAATGTTTGTAGCTGTATATAGACTTTGAAGTTGGTGTCGACCCATCAACATTTTTTGTAAAATATGGTCTAAAAATATATATTTTGAAATGTTGATAAACTAAAAACTGAATTAAAATTATTTTTTTTATAAGTGACAAACAATAAAAAGTAGGTTTTTTTTAGTTTTGTACTGTGTAACTATATTTAAAGAATATCATAATTAATAAAAATAGTCGTTGTATGACAAATAGAAACGAGGAAGAGACTTTATGATTTTAATAGCATCTAATACTAAATAATATGGAATATAGCCTAATAATGTGAGCTTACAATGGAATTGATTTATAGCAATAATTCTAATTAAAATACGCGAATTACAATTTTGGTATCATATAGATTAAAATGTATCACGCTCAATGTATATATATATATATATATATGTGTGTGTGTGTGTTATGTGGCATAAATTATGGTGTTATATTTAATAAATAATGTTATAGGTAAGTAAGATTTAATGAACTATTACTAAGTTTATTATTAAATGAATATAA